AAAGACTTGACCAGACTTTTGTTCTCTACCTTGCCCTCAAAGTGGACGAAGCTCTTGGAAATCTGGAGGGTGGAGAATTGGTGATTGTGCCCCATGCCCTTCAGTCTTTCCATCACCTCCCAGCTGGGGATGGACTTTCTGGTCTACTTCAGCTGGTGATCTTTGTGATGGGCTTGAGGTAGAGGCTGTACAGAGGCAGAGCTCCACCACCTCAGACGTTATGGTCTATGGTAGCTGATGCCACAGCCGTAGCATTAGGCCAGCATGGGGCTCCCCTTGTGTCCTAAGTGGCCACCACTCTGGCCGAAGTTGTGCCCCCCCCCACCCCCCCGCCCCGACCCCAGCAGGGGCTGCCTCCCCACCCAGCATTGCCTCTGTCAGCCGAAGATTTCCCTGAGGTGACCCGCCCCTGTGCTGCCTGCCCTATGACAGTGCTAAGTGCTGGAGATACAAAGGTGAGTAAGACACGTTAAGTTGTGCCTTTGAGGACCTCAGTCTACGGAGACAGGCAAAGGATAAGTAAATTGTTAGAGATATGCCCTCTGGGCTGCAGGGACCTTGACTGTCTTGTTCACAGTTAGATTGTCATTGTCTGGCCATCCTGCAGGATAAATATTTGATGAATAAATAAATAGGTGAATGAATGCAGAGTACTAAGGGAACACAGAATGGAGGAGGGAGGGAAGGCTTTCCAGAGGAAATGCTGACTTTAACAGATCAGTAAGAGGTAGCTAGGCAAGGCAGGCTGGAGACAGTAGTCCGGAAGGAGAAAGGGCAAGGTTGGCTCAGGTTTGCAGTAACTAATTATGCCTGGATTAGAGGCTGGCACAAGAGGTGATGAGAGATGAGCCTGAATGTGAAGAGTCCCATGATGAAGAGCCTCATATGAGAAGCTACTAAGTTAGGATTCTATCCTGAAATCAATGGAGAGTCATTTTTTTTTTTAAGTGTGCTTTTTGGTGAGGAAGATTAGCCCTGAGCTAACATCTGTTGCCAATCTTCCTCTTTTTCTATTCTCCCCAAAGCCCCAGTACATAGTTGTATATCCTAGTTGTAGGTCATTCTAGTTCTTCTATGTGGGATGCCACCACAGCATGGCTTGATGAGTGATGTGTAGGTCCGTGCCCAAGATCTGAACCAGTGAACCCCAGGCCGCTGAAGCAGAGCATGTGAACTTACCTACTCGGCCCTTGGCCGGCCCCTGGAGAGTCATTTTTAAGCAGAGAAGCATCATCGTGATATTTGTGATGTAGAAAGGTGAATCTGAGAGCATATGGAGGACTGGTTGGATATAGAGTGGCTGATACTGGAGCCAAGAAGACCAATTAGAGAAGTGGTGAATAATTCAGGCAAGGGAAGATAAGAGTCTGAACTAAGGCAGTGACACAAGAAAGCCAAGAGGGGCAATGGAATTAGGAGATATCTAAGGGATAGATTTGACAGGACTTGAGGAGAAATTGACTGTGGGGATTGAGAGAGAAGAAGCAGAGGGTAATGGCCAGGTTACTGTCTCAGGCAACTGGGTAGGTGGTGGAGCCATTCATCAAGTTAGGGAGCATAGGAAAAAATGGTCTAGGGATGGAGTGAGGTGGACTGAGAATAATGCACTTACATTTCAAGTCCGGGGTGTCTGTTGGGCATCCAGTTAGAGATATTAACAGGCAGTTGGATGTACAGAACTTGAGCTCAGGAAACCATTTGGGAAAGAGAAGTAGATTTGGGGGCATCAAGATACCGCTGATACTGGATGCCACCTTCGATCTGGAGATGGCTATGTTCATATGTACTTGGAAAGCACTTAGGAAGAAGTTATTTTAAAATTTCCTCAAGATAGTGCTCAGGAAGGTCAGCTCAGTGGCTAGACAGCAAGGGTGGTTGATAGTCTTCTCCCAGAATGGGGGAGCTGAGTTTTCATCTTGTCATCCCCACTCCTTGACGTTTTTATGTAATGAACCTACTGCTCCAAGATGAATGATTTTGGAAGGGAAAGGAAGCAAGATTAGAAGCAGGCTCTAACTGGTTGGCCTTTGCTTGTTTCATCCAAAAGTCTTAAGTACCAAAAAGTAAACAAAAACAAAAAAACCCTGCTCTAAAATACACTCCCTCCCCTGACCCCAGGCACTTGGATTAGAATGAGGCTGGGCAATAATTTAGGGCAGGATGCTCTTCTAAGACTCTGATTATCCATTAGGAACACATATACCTAAAAAATCACATGTAACTTGAGGTTCTGACATGGCCCCTTCACTACAAACTTACTGAAATGGTAGAATAAATATAAACAGAGAGAACCAAAAAAAAAAAAAAAAAGAGAGAGAGAGAGAAAGAGATAGGTGGGCTCAAAAATAAGATGAAATCTCTTTGGACCAGAAAGGGAATATAAATGCAAAATAGTAGTCAGACTCAAGCCACTCGCCTGCTTTTCTCTGGGCCTAGATGTAGGCAGTGGTGGCTGTAGTTCAACTTTTCTACTGTAATAGGAACTGAAAGTGTTTCATATGAGACCTGGGCCAAAATCCAGGCTTAGAGTTTAAAACAGGAGTCAAGGTGGACTCTCTGCCCTCATTGATATCACCTCTGACCAGGAACTACTCTGAGCTGTGGATCGGATTGCTGATGGGATCTCTGTCATCAATATCACCTCCAGGAATGCTGGAACATCCTGTTGCTAGACTGAGTTCACAGTGAGAGGCAGGGATAGAGCTAACCGAAAAACTACTAGACTATAAGGAGTAAGGATAAAGGGAGAGAGGGAGTGAAGAACCAAAAACAAAGTCTCCTGTTCAAAATGAGCTTAAGACCAAAATTCCAAAATATATACAGAAAATAAATGCCAAGAAAGATGACAAACACAATCAAGAATTAGAACATGAATTTAATTCAGATAATATTTTATAGAAAAGTTTGACAAAGTTTTTAAAATTAGCATGTTAAAGTGTTCAAAAAATAAGACATAATATACATAAAAATAATAAATTATGAAACCCAAGCAGGAAGATATGAAACAAAGATAGATGGATATGAAAAAGAAACAATTAGAAATCTTAAAAACAAGCCATTTAAATAAAACAACTAAAATAATAGATGGGCTTAACTTTAGACTAAACACAATCAGATAACAAACTAGGGAAATGGAATAGGGTGCTGAAGAATTAACTTAGTATAAACCATGGAGAGTCAAAGAGATAAAAATATAAATGAGCAGGTACGAGACATAAAGATCAGGATCAAGATCATAGAGCAAGAAACTCTGAATTATCTTTAATAAGGAATTCCCGAAAAGGAGATTGGAAGGAAGGGTGGAGAAACAACACTTGAAGATCTAATAGCTGAAAAATTTCCAATTTGCAAAAAGACATTAGGATTTCTTTGTTTTCTATTCATTCAGCAAACATTTAATGTACACTTACTATATGTTACACTCTAGACTAGAACAGGGGAGACAACATGAATGTGGTGCAATCCTTCACCTGAGGGTCTCACACTTAGTAGGAGAGATGGATATGTTTAATTAAAATATAATGTAAAAAGAGCTATGGTAAAACTGTGTACTACAGAATCAAGACGAAGGAAAAACGTTTCTGAGAGGACTGAGAAAAGCTTCATAGAGATTACATTTGAGCTGGGCCTTTAAGTTGAGAGTTCCCTAGAGCAGTGTTCTCTGGGAAGAGGAAAGGAATGGACAAAAGTCATGGCGGCATGAAAGAGCATGACTTATTTGTGGCTGCTGAGTGGTTCTATGTGGTTCTAGGTTCTAGACTATGTGGGAGGAGAGTTGAGACATAAGCTAAAAGGACTCACTGGGGAAAGAATTGAATCACCTTTTAAAAATGGAAAACATTTATTGAAAGTTTATTGAAGGACAATAAGTAAATAAATACCATGGAGAGATATCCCATGTTCATAAATACGGTAACTTAGGGTCATAAAGATGGATTCCCCCCCAAATAAATTAAATGCAACGCCAATCAATATCCAAATGAGTTTTTAAATGAAATGTGACTGATTATGAAGTTTATATGGAAGGAGGGTAAGGAATAACCAAAATCATTTTGAAAAGCATAACAGGAATGTACCCTGTCTGCTATCAATGTTAATCTAATAAGTTTTAACAATTAAAACATTGTAGGAGGTATTTCTTTCTTAAATATTGAGAAGGAGTCACTGTGACCACCTTTCTATGGCAAGCTGTGGAGGAAAATGAGCAGGGTTGAGTATTAGAACGATCGCTCTGGCATTATAGTACAGGATGACCTGGGTTTGGAGGGTGGCAAGACCAGAGTTGAAGTGATATGCTGGCTGCTTCAGAAAGTCTGCTAAGAGATGCTGAGATGGAAAATGAGGACAGTGAGGATAGAGAAAGAGATCTGAGTAGAGAAATGGTTAGGAGAGAGAATCCACAGACCTGGAGTTTTCCTGTGTTGGAGGTAGGTGGGTTGGGCAGGAGGCAAGGGAAAGAGAAGAGATGAGGAGAACTTCAAGGCCCCTAAGCTCGTAATTGATCGGACGGTGCGCCATGAACAGAAAGAGCGACTATCAGAGGAAACCCCTACTGTGTGGAGTCTGGGGTATGTTGATTTAAGGATCTCTGGGACAGACAAGTGGGCATCTGGAAGATAAGAATGGGGCTTGGCAGAGTTTGAGGCAGACATCTTAAGTAGTTGCCGAAGTAATGAAAATAAATTTCGTTAGGCAGATTCCAAGTTCAACAGGTAGAGAAGGAAGACAGAATAGGAGGAAAACACTGCCTGGAGGCGATGACGCTCTATCTGGGCCTTGAAGGATGGGAGCATCTGAAGCAGCAGCAGTGTGTGCAGGAGAAGCCGAGGCTAGAGGGCAGATGCAGAAGCTGAGAGAGAACTGAGCGTGCTGGAGAGAATTGGTTATGAGGTTGGCAAGCGAGAGGAACCTCCAAAGGTGGTGAAAAGGAGAGAGTGGCTAAGCAGGAAGGGAAACTTTTCATTTTTCACTCACATGCAAAACGAGAGAGGCGCCCTCACCTTTGCATTTATCGCAAGTTGGATGGCATCTCTCACAGGTCTGCGCGCTTTGCTCTGCATAGTAATGCTCTGGGCAGGTGCGACGACACTCTCCCTTGGAGCGGAGCAGAAAGAAAAATGGATCGCAAGACAGGCAGTCTGTGGGCCGCGGGCCCCGGCAGGCCTTGCAGCTCCTGTTGCACCTCTCACACCGTCCGGTGGCGTTTTCTGCATAATATCTGAAACCAAGGGGGAAGTGAAGATTAAATGCTAAGCTTTGCTCCTGAGTTGAATGTGGTAGAAAAAACACAGACAGACAAGGTTTATTTACAGGACAGGTGACTTTAGACTCTTCAGTCATTAGATTCATTGCTAATTACACTAATAAATCTAATGATTCTCAGTTTTATTATTTGTAAATTGGGCATGACAATCCCTCCCCTGCTGTTTGTGAGGATTAAGTTAGATGACACACATGAAAGGATCTAGTTCTTACCTCATGTAGTAGCACCACGATAATGGCTCACTACCTTCGCCTTCTGCCTACCCATGTGCTCCTCCCATTTCACATGAGCTTTAAGTAGTGTGGAGCGGGGTCAGCGAATAGAAGACATTTTAAGTGTACCTCTGAGTGGTTCTTCTAATTTCTCAATTTAAAAAGCATCTTGAAATAGGAAGTGACGTGAGTGATGTTGACGTTTACATAATAGATGTAACCTCTTTCGAAAAGCTTTTTAGAGTCTAAATATAACAATAATCATCATTCATTAAGTTTCTACAATATACCTGGTAGTACACTAGGGACTTCGTAAACATTGTTTCACCTTACTGAACCTGAAAATGAGACACTAGAGCATGGCAGCTAGGAGCTGGCTCCCTGGAACAAGACTGCATGGGGTCAAAGCCTAGCCATACCACGGATGAGCTGTATGACCTTAGGCAAGTCACACAACGTCTCTGTGACTCAGGTCTGTAATGTGGGGCTAATGTTAGTGGCTAAAATTAAACAAGTTATTACTGAGAGAGTTGCTAGACCAGTGTCTGGCACATTATAACTAATGTATATTAGTGATAATTATGAATTGTATGATTAATCTTTATAAGAAACCTTATGGTTTAGATACTATTATCACTATTTTACATATGTAAAAACGGAGGCTCAGGGGCCAGCCCCACCCCCAAGTGGTTAAAGTTCCACGTGCTCTGCTTTGGTGGCTGGGCTTCGCAGGTTCAGATCCCTGGTGAGGACCTACTCCATTCATCAGCCATGCTGTGGCAGCAACCCACATACAAAGTAGAGGAAGATTGGAACAGATGTTAGCTCAGGGCAAATATTCCTCACAAAATAAATAAATGAATGAATAAATAAAAAAAAGGAAGAAAGAAATTTAAAAAAACCCCTGAGGCTTAGAGAATTTAGACAACTTGCTTAAGGTCAAACAGCTAGTGAAGTGGGGCAATATGATTTGAACTTCTCTCTTAAATACCACTGTAATAAAGCAGTGCATTATTTGAAGGTAAACAAAAAATTTTCAAGTAAAATAGAAGAGAGCAAAGGAATCATTGTCAAAGATGAACTTCTAGAAGTCCTCTGACCCACCTCAGCATCTCTGGACGTTGCACGCTGAAGCCATCCTAGAAACCCGAAGGCTCACTGTTGGTTTCTCTAATGCAAAACTATTGGCCCATCAGGTTTGTTTTGTTTTGTTTTTTTGATGAGGAAGATTGGCCCTGAGCTAACATCTGTCCCAATCTTCCTCTATTTTTTTGTATGTGGGATGCTGCCACAGCATGACTGCTGATGAGTGGTATAGGTTCACACCTGGGAACCGAGCCCTGGCCACCAAAACAGAGTGCACTGAACTTAACCATGTAGGCCATGGGGCTGCCCTACTCTTTGATAATTTTTAAAGCCTATTTGGTATTGATAAGCTTTCTTCTCCACAGTTCCTATTGATGCCTTTCATCTTAATAACAGTCTATAATAACAACATTAGTAAAGAGCGTTTATGCTGCTTTAGAGTTTATAAAGTATTTCCCCTCACAGTGTATCATTACATTATGATTTGATTCTACAACAATCCTGTGAGATTGATATTATTCTCTCCATTTTACAGATGAGGAATCTGAGGCTCAGAGAGGTTAAGTGACCTTCCCAAAGCTACCATGTGTGGCTATTAATACACAGAGGAGCCAAGACTAAAAAGCAGATCTTCTGACTTCTGTCCTGTGTATTCCCTCTGTGGATCAGTATGGTTTTCACTTCTCCCTGTTGCTTTCCCTCTTGAGTCTTATGTGGTCTTTATCAACAATCAGTTCACGATTGATGCTTTCTTGTGTTCTCTTTTCATCAGCCTGTCTCTCAAATACCTCCGAGTCTTCCTGAGTGACTAGAGCGGTCACTGTTCCTCACCTGACTGCAGAAGGAGAGATGAGGCTTGACTTGCCACAAGCTGAGCCACAGGGGGACAAGGGTCCTCACTCAGACCACTGACAGGTGGCTAGGTAGAGGTGGACTCAGCATTACCTAGTCTTGGTTTTAGTTTTCAACAAGTTAGTGGAACTGAAATAAACTTTAAAAAACCTAATGGAGGGGCCAGCCCAGTGACATAGTGGTTAAGTTCTCACACTCTGCTTCAGTGGTCTGGGGTTCTCATACAAAATAGAAGAGGATTGGCACAGATGTTAGCTCAGGGCAAATTGTCCTCAGCAAAAAAACAAAAATTAAAAATTAAAAAATTCTCAAAGAGTAATCCTAAGGGAAAGACAATGAAGAGTTTAATGGATCAGATTAAAAGAAGAGAAGAGTCCAATGGCACCGCTTACTTTGATGACTCTTTTGCATGAGATGACTGTGAAATCTCTGAGCCTCATGCTTGAAGGGGATCTTGTGCATAAGTACAAACAATAACTGGGGCCTTAAAGAACTTGCTCTGAGGTTAAACACCAAAATAATTACGTGCACTGGGACAGGGTGCGGAGGATCGTATCCCTGCCTTTCCGAGGCAAAGAGACGTAACATACGAAGTTTATGCAACGCGTGTGCAACATTGATCCTACAAAAGGAACTAGTTCACTTAAATATCTCCACTTATACCTCATTTATACCTCACTTATTCTCCATCAGAGATTTATGGCAACCCATACCTTTCATCTCCTCCCAATGGGTAACTTGACACACCATGGAATAATTGTCTTCTTAGTTCCATGGTCTGCAATCTATTTAGATCACAGGATTATACTCTTGTGTGTGTATAAGAGTATTTAATGACTTGATTTGAGGAAGATGGAGATTCTTTATATGGGATCCATATCTTTTCAGGCACTTATTGGGATGAGGATGAAGGGCTAAGCCAGGTAGCCCCATCTCCTCTCCTGTCTGGCAGGGCCCTTTCTTCATTGATCTGTATGGTTGGTGTTTTTTTAAAGGCGGCTAATGTGTGTGTCTCTGTGCCGAGTGTTGTAGTAGCATGTGTGAAAAATAAGAGGTGTTTTTTTTTCTAGGAGCTTCTAATTTTCTTGGGAAGAGGTATATAAGAAGAAGCTCTTGAAGGTCAAGGTCTTTGTATTACTCATACAAGGTGCTCTTCGTTAAATATGTATTGAATGAATGAATGAGTGAATAAATGAGGTAAATCAAAATACAAGGCAATGTGTAGCACTACAATGAGTGATAAAAGCAGTAATTGCTGTAGGACTGAAGAGAAGAGAAGAGATGTGCAGATCTGGCAAAAGCACTGGGGGAAAGTACAAGGTTACAGCCCTTCAATCTGTGTCTGGGAACTCTCAGTGCCTTAGGTTACTGGCTGGGAAGGAGGAGTTAGTAACAGGCTTGTAATCAATCTTCCTCTTTACTGGGGATGCCAGGGGAAAAAAGGGATGAGTCAGTCAAATACTCTTCCAAATATGTTGGTAACCAGACCTCCTGATAAACACACTAACAGTTTTTCCTAGCAGAAAAATAATTTCTTTTGTTTTTTTTTTTTAAAGATTGGCACCTGAGCTAACAACTGTTGCCAATCTTTTTTTTTTTCTGCTTTATCTCCCCAACCCCCACCCCCACCCCCCCGCCCCCGGGTACATAGTTGTATAACTTAGTTGCAGGTCCTTCCAGTTGTGGGATGTGGGATGCCGCCTCAATGTGGCCTGATGAGCGGTGCCATGTCCGCGCCCAGGATCCGAGCCCTGGGCCGCTGCAGTGGAGCGCGCAAACTTAACCACTTGGCCACAGAGCCAGCCGCGAGAGTTCTTATCTGTGAAATACTCTTAGAAGGATACATCTGTGTGTTTAGGTTGCTCATGGTAACCAAACCTGTAGTTTGTGGATTTATAGGGTCATGGCAGGTTGGAGACCTAGTGGGGCATAAATGGAGATATTTAACTGAAATGGTTCCCTTTGTAAAATCAATGCTCCACGTATGTTGCTTAGACCTCATGTACTGAATCTGATCAGAACAAATCCTAATGCAGAAGAGGAAGAAACTATATTCGTGGTCTTGGACTTCTCTAAGGGAAGAATGCCTCACCTCTGCCTTGTGATTGCTTGTATCCCTTGAATGATGAGTGATGTTTGGCACGTGAGTGTCATTGACAATCTGCCCTTTGTGTTATCTCACTGGGTCAGCTGTCTCTCCTGTTTATTCCATTGCTGTGAACTGGCTGAAATCCTTTAGAGACCATTAGACCTGGTCTGGACTCTCCTCTTTATTCCTTACTAGTGATGAGACCTCAATCTGGTTATATAAGTTTTCTGAGACTTAGCTTGCTCATCTGCAAAATGGGTTTGCTAAGAGTGGTATCTGGAGTGGTTATGGGATTAAATGAGGGAAAAGTGTGTCGAGCACCTTACCCTTCCCTGCACTGGGGCAGGCACTCCTTTCCCAGCTGGAACCAGCCTGGTTGGCAGGAGAGGCACTGCATGCTGTATCTCCCTTCACACGTCCTACAAGAGCTGTGGCAGGGCACACAGCGGTGGCTGTCCTCATCGGCGTAGTAGCCCTCAGGGCAGTCCTGCACGCAGGTTGTGTCTGCCAAGGGAGGAAAAAGTCCATCTTGGTATCAAGTATGACGCATGTCTCCCAAACCTCCTGTACATGCTCCCCACTGTGCACCATGGGGGGAGGAGGGATGCAAGAGGAATAAGACAATGTACTTGTTGGCTGATACATATCTTTGGGAGCTAAGGTGAATGTCCAAGAAATAGAATTGACCATAAAGCCATTAGGAGTTGAGAGAAAACAGAGGTCAGAGTGGACTGGCCTTGGTGGGCAGGACAGAAACCACAGGCTGTCAATGAGAGCCAGAGGATGTGCAGGGTGTCCCAGGGAGGGGGGTTCATTTAAGGCAGGCGCTGGGGGAGCAAGTGTCAACGCTGCAGTGAAAACAGAAAGTGCCGGGCCAACATGATGACATGTTCCCACAGCTTCAACTTTCTATTTCTACCCTTGAATGTGTTCCCTTCGATATAAGATTTAACCTTGGTTCTGTTGTGCTGCCCACTCAGTGTAGCTCTTGAAATGAAAATGAAATAAGATTAAAACTTCTGTTCCTCACTTGCATGAGCACAGATGTAGAAGATTTCTGTCGTGACAGAAGGTTCTATGGACAGTGAGTCTCTGTTTTGCCCAGGTATTTAAAAATTAGATTAAACCCCTAAATTCTCTGCTTTACACAGTGAGATAAGTTGGAGTTGAGTTGTTCAGCCCCACACCACCCCAGTCCTTCCTCCACCAACCCCAGTGGCACCGCTGATTCTTGCCTTCTTCCTCAACAACAGCTAGGGGTGGAAGGTGAGGGCGGCTATGCAGGTTAGCTCGTGGTCCTTAGAGGCAACTTCCTCCCCAGCTTCCGCTTGACCCTGTGGAATGGAAGCCAGGCTCTCCTGCGTTTTTAGTGTGAGCCACTGGTCAACTCTAGACCAGAAGCCGTAACTCTAGTCAGCATTAAGCACACAGGCACTGGTGGAAAAGCTAAATAATATTAGAGCTGCTGTAAAAAGTGCTGTAGACTCAAACTCTGTTCTGGGAGACCCTGAGCTCCATGAGGGCAGGGGCCATGTCATTCACTCTATTTCCAGCACCCAGCACAGTGCCAGGTCTCTAGCAAATGCTTGTTCAGTGGCTCTTGTGTTAAAGATGGATGTTGGCAATGGTTCATTGTCCAGTGATGTATCTGGTTAACTCAGGTGAAGCCCTAATCCCCTCAAGATGAAACTCCTCTGGATCAGTTTCCTATTGCTCTTGTAACAAATTTCCACAAACTTAGTGGCTTAAAACAATACAAATTTATTATCTTATAGTTCTAGAGGTCAGAGTCTAAAACAGGTCTACCAGGCCATGTTCCTTTTGGGGGCTCTGGGAGAGAATCTGTTTCTTTGTCCTTTCCAGCTTCTAGAAATCACCTGCATTCCTTGGTTTGTGGGCTCCTCCTCCATCTTCAGAGCCAGAGCACAGCATCTTCTCTCTCTGTCTTCCTCTGCTTTGTCATCACAGAGCCTTCAACTACTGACTCTGATCATTCTGCCTCCCTCTTGTAAGGACCCCTCTGATAATCCGGGATAATCCTCCCAAATCAAGACCATTAATTGAATCACATTTGCAAAATCCTTTTTGCCATGCAAGGGTCTGGGGATTAGGATGTGGACATTTTTAGGGGCAGCATTGTTCAGTCAACCACAACCTCCAGAGGAAACACCTAGTATATAACTAGCCTGACCACGGTGGGGTATGCTGAGGGGCAGGGTGTGAGAAAGTGAGAAGATCAGGCCTGAGACATCCTGTGCCCAGCCCTTGGGGGACTATGGCTCTGTGTTATGCACCAGCACTAAAGTCTCAGTTCTAGTCTAATTCATATCCCTAGTTTAAGGGAAGACCACCTTGTAGTGGTAAGACGTCTTCCTGCCTGTCTGAAGGCACCTGAGGTGATCACTGGTAGCACTTTAGGTTGGGAATAATTAGAAAAGAAGTTCTAGGGGTTGAGATGATATAGGAGAACTGGAACATTCTCATGAAGCAGCAACTGCTGGGAAGGAAGTTCACCGAGATTTGTGTAAGAGGAGCTAAGATGGATGGATAGAGAAGATTGGTATCTTTGAGTATTTTCTACTGGGAGGGGACCAGGAATGGTGTGGAGGATAGCTATCTCTGTGTCTTAGCGGGGAAATGGTGCCCTTGCTGATGATACCTCAACAAGAAGAGGAAAAATTGTCACACATTTCTACTGTGAGGGTCTTGCTTCTCAAGTCTACTCTCCTGGGTTGGGGAGATGAAGGCTGACACTTTCCAGGTCTTCAGCATATCCTTTTTTCTCTCTCCTATCCCCTGCCCCTTCTGTCAGTTGAGTTGAGTTTGGTTTCATTTTCTTTCTCCCATACCTGTGCTCAGACTAATCATGGTATCCCTGGAAACCTGAAGGCATTGCCTCACATTGGCAGTGACCTTCACTTGGGATCTTCTGGAGGTGGCCAATCTCAGACTGTGCCATACTTTGTTCAAGAAGATTTATTAATCAATGGATGTTAAATCAAGGGGAAATTTTGATGAGGAGCTGAATACCTACATGTTCATAAAGTGTCTCTTCGTGGACTGCTTATTGACCACATGGGAAAATATAACTCCGCAGTGGAGAAACTGGACAGCACCCTGAACAGATGACCAAAATGAGCATCACCGACAAGTGGCAGGTGAACATCGTGTGTGTTTCCAGAAAGACACAACATCACCTGTGAAGAATTCTGGCTGGGAATGAAGAATCTCCATCTAATCACAGGGGAACTTCACACAAACCCCAGTGGAGGGCTAGGGACTGTATTCTTCTAAAATGTCAATGTTATAAAAGACAAAGTCTGTGGAAATGTTTCAGATTAAAGGAGACTAAGGAGACATGGCAGCTAAATGCAATACCTGCCTCTAGACTGGACCCTGTCCTAAAGATGAATTGACAAAATTATAAGATGGATGGGATACTGAAGCATTGTAGCAATGGTAAATTCACTGGAGTTGACAACTGTGCTGTGGTTATGTAAGACAGCAGCCCTGTTCTTAAGAAATGCATCCTAACGTATGTGGGAGAAACCGGCTGTGATGTATGTAACGTATCCATAAATGGTTCAGAAAACAATATATTGTGGATTACGTCTGCGTGTACATTGGGAGCGGGAGACCGAGAGCAAGCACATGATAAAGCCAAGGGCTCAGAGATGAACAGTGGGGATGGGGGGGCATGTGTGCCTGTTCTTTGTACTGTTCTCACTCTTGCCTCTTTTCTGTGGGTTTGAAAGTTTCCCAAACACGAGTAAATAGTTAAAAAGAAAGACACCAAGGTCTACTGGGCACCAAGCATCAGGCAACGTCATTTCTCAGATGGAGGGAAGGACAAAGCCCTCCTCCAAGAAGAGCAACTCACTGAGAAGAAGGCTGTCCCTCAGGCAGGTGTGACACTGGTCCTCCGAGGGCCCTGTGCAGCGGAAGCACTTGGCATGACAAGGCTTGCATCCCAGAGCCCCCTCATCCCAGTACTCGGAGGGGGCACATTCCTGGTGAGGCACGCAGTCCCCGTGGTGATTCATCCTCCAGCCGTCCTGACAGGTCATGCAGGTCCCAGATGGCGAGCAGGTCTGGCAGGACTTGTGGCAATCTGTGGGTGGGATGGGGCAGCCAACAGAGAGTGAGAGAGCCCAGGGCACGCCAGTTCCCTGAAAAGTGTGTTCACATTCCTTCCTCATTTCTTCCAGAGATTTCCGGGGTTCTGTGCCAAGGGTGTGGAGCCATGAGCTGAGGACAGCCCTTGGGCTCTGGGTGGAGCATTCTTGTTACAAAATGAGAAAAAAATGGCTGTTTCACATTCTTTGTAATATTTAAAGGGCCGCTTCCTGCACTAGGCCCCTCAGAAATATTAGTAAGACTCACTGTAACTACCCAAACTGCAACAAAAGAACACTAAGCAATTCTGTGGCAGCATGGTCACACGCTAGTGGGTGGCCTTTTCACTACCATTACTCCTATTCGGCGGTCCTCCACTGACCTCCCAGAATAACCTTGAGCTTATCACTAATGTAACAATTGTTGAGATATATTATAATTACCTGTTGACCAAAAAGCCCTCTTTTGTATTCATTTATGAATGCACGGTACCTCTGGGAGGGCCTGGCATGTAATAGGCACTCAATGAATATTTCTTAGACAAATGAATAAGAACTATTCACTCCCCTTTTGAGGTTTTAGCAGTTGTTGCTTCCTCTGCCTAGAATTCTCTTCTCCCAGGTACAGCGTGGTTTGTTCCCCCCCATTCTCAATGACGTCTTCCAGGCCTCCTTCTCTCTAATTTCAGGTCCCTCTGGCCCAACTTCCTGTCCCCCTTCCCTGCCTTATTTTTCCTTCTGATTTATCTTCTGTAGAGTCTGTTTTCCCCAGTAGAATGCAAGCTCCATGAAGGCAGGATTCTGTGTGTATTGCCCCCTGCTGTTCCCCAGGCCTGGTCCTCCACATGGCACATAGGAGGCCCCTGATAAGCACTCCGTGGATGAATAGACGCCTGGTATTATTATTGTGATTATCATCCTCTCATTTTATCTAGATCAGGAAATCAAGGCTGGAGGAGCTCCGTCACTTGGCTGGAAAAGGGCAGGCTCAGGAGTTGAACCCACGACTTTAACAAGGGTTCTTGCTATGTCTGCCCCGGTGCCTCAGGAAAGATGTGGGGTCCTTAGAAGTCTCTATGCTGTCTCGTAGGGGATAATTTTGGGGGTGATCAGAATGGATCCCAAGTCCTTGTGTTTCTTAGAAGAGGTCCTGCTTAGAGATTGCTAGGTTCTGGGTATTTCTCTACACCCACTCAAATCTCAATTTTCCGGTCAAGTCCTTTGTTTCTTCTCTCTGGAAAGTCAGGTGGTCACCCCATTTCTTCCCTCGGCCTCCCCTTGGACTGGTGGAAGGGGTAATAGCATTGCAGGGACAGACTCAAGTCACTTTCCAGTGTTGGGTGGGTCTGATCTGAGGGGAGCCCAGCCAGCTGTGGTTTTTAACGCTCCCCAGCTGATTCTAATGGGCAACCAGGGATGAGATCCAGGGCCCTCCTCAGTGACAAAATCAAATCAAGTAAATTAAGGAAACGTCTTCTGAGACCTGTAAATTTCTTTCTATGGCAAATTACTTATATTACTGAGCACCAGAGAAAAGCCCGAAGTTGGTCCTCAGTTCCTGGCCTGGTACAGGCAAGACGGCCCTGGAGGCCTTGGCTGAGTCTCTGAACTTCTCGTGGAAACTGAGCCCAGCTCCACAGCCTGCCTCCTGGGCTCACTGTACCCTTCTGCTTCATGGCACAGCCACCCGTCTTCAAATCCATGTTCTTCCACAACTGTTCAGATGGGACACTGACACTAAAGAGAGCTTTACATAAAACACACAAAAAGGTATATCCTGGCTGTAAGGCTAGAGCAGAAAGACTTCGGGGGAAACTACGTCCTCATGTCTTACCAAAACATTTCCCTGAGACCTTGTAGGACATGGCTGGCCCAAGGTCTCTCCTGTCATGAGAGTTCAACCCTGAGCTCTCGCTGTGGTTAGGGGGCCTGCCTCTGGGTATCTATTTTGTGTTTGCTTGGAGGCCACATAGGGGATGAAATTACCACTGGCTGCCTAGCTGGAGTGAATCCTGTGACCATAGTTAACAGTACAGTATTGTACACGTGAATGTTGCTAAGAGGGTAGATCTTAAACGTTCATACAAAATAAAAAGGTAACTGTGGGATGATGGATATGTTCACTGGCCTTACTGTGGTCATCATTTCACAATATATATGTATATCAAATCATCACGCTGCATACCTTAAACTTATTCAATGTTATATATCAATTATATATCAATAAAACTGTCTGAGTGGAGGGGATAAAAGTCACTTCCCCCAGGAAGCTTCCCTCACTTGCTTGAGAATTCCTCTAGTAATGGACAATTTATTTAACTTTTCTGTTCCCTGATAACTAATAAGAGACAATTCATGCTCAGTTAAAACATAAGGAGGCATAAATAAGAGGATCCTTTCCTGAATGTGTAGGGATTGAACTGCCAAGTGGGAGATGGAATAGGGACCCAGGGTGGGAGGAGCTGAAGGTGATGAGGAGGGATGGAGGGAGCTTTAGGGAGGCAAATGGTGAAGGGAGACAAGAGACACTGAGAAAATCCTCTGTGGCACAGCTTTCTTTAGGCTGCTGTAAACCTACAATGGCTTAAAATTTTTTAAAAAAATCTTCCATTTTTGGGTGACTTTTGAAGGCTCATCATCTGTGTTGTAAATCTTGATGTGAGAATCCTTTTTGATCAGCATCTGTTGTGAGGAGGGTCAGCAGTATCCATTGCTAGTAAATGGTACATAGTCAAAGCTAACAAATGGCTCACTTTAAAAATAAATAATAAATTAGAACAGAGTCACAATATGCTTCCTTAAGCAGGAGGGAAAGGAATGGGATGACAGTTCTGGGGCTGGAACCATGCAAACCCTGGAACCTACTTTGTCTCAGCAGAGACCCATAATCCCATTAGGCTCCCTGGGATGCGGTGCTTGGCCATGCACCTGGAAGTCTTTACCTTTGCAAACCTTAGTCATTTTTTCATAGTAAGTTCCTTCTGGACACTCGTCCAAACACCGCCCATTGTAGAGAACCAAGGACTCCTCAGCACAGAGGTCGCAGTCATCTGCTGAAGGGCCACTGCACTCCAGACAGTCTTCATGGCAGGGGACACACTGGCGTGCATCTTCATAGAAGTGGTTGGGACAGGATTGATGGCACATATCTTTGTACAGGAAGGACCCAGGCATGCACTCTGGGGATGAGGGAAGTAGAAAGTTACTCTCAGGGAGACAGGAGAAAGGAATTCATTCCTTCTGCAGTGGGCTGGCAAGTCCTCACCACTTTGGCTCATTTGACTTTAGGGTACATTTGCCCCATCCCCACCCTACCAGGGCACATCCTCCATGTCTCATAAGCCCTGCCTTGGGAGAAGAGACCATGTATGGTGGCCCAATTGGATGGTGCAGGGTTTACATACTGAAATGACCTGCCCCTTGGAGGCGGAAAAATTGCAGTTCTGTGGCAGATGAGTGGTGGCTGACATGCTGGAGGTATTGTTTGAAAAACTCAGAAGGTATTAGCAGATTTTTAAAGTTGTGGTGAGCACCCCATGCTCTATTCAATACAGAAAGCAATTTAGGAGTTCTTGCATTAGTTAATTCTTCATTTACTGGTAGGGTTGACCAATGAAACATACATGGCTAATCAGGATGAAGAATGCTTTGTGGTTCATTTTGTTTGTGTTCATTCTCTTATTTGGGGAGAATTCTCAAAAATGGATTATGTACTACCAAGAGACTCTTTTGGATAAGACAACACCAGTTAAATGAGTCTATCTTATTCTGGAGAGGGAATTAGACAGTCTTTCTTGGGAGATAATTCCAGAGAAAAAAAGTCCTACCCAGAGTGCTATTCTCAGAGTCTTATAGTTGCCTGAACTTTTCTTTTGCATCTTTAATAACAGTTGCAATTCTCTAGCTACCTCTGTTTTTCATTACTATCAGTTTCTGCTATAAGATTTTGTGCTCAAAAAGGCAGGAACTTTGGGTTCTTATTTGCATCTCTAGAACTTGGGATAGTGTTTGGCAGACCCTAAGCACTCAGAACACGTGTGTGGAAGAAATCATGCAAAAAGGGGCTCTTGTCTGTTTTAACTCACAAAATCCATAGTGGAAAGGCTTTATCTCACCCTCAATTTCCTCAGTGATGTGCACAGAGATAGATACGTTTCAGTAAAGGCAAGGAGACTGGTTCCTCCAGTTCTCGTTGGACATCTCACCCTCAGATAGTCAAACCCAGCTGAGGAGGCTTAGCAGCCCCACACTCTCCCCTGAGATGCCCTCAGGTACCTTTGCATGTTTTCTCATGGATGCAGTCCTGACACATCTCTGGGCAATGCTTGCACACCCCCTCCACAGCCACGTGCCTCTCAGAGCAGGTTTCCCTGCACTCTCCATGGTGTAGGACAAGGCCTCCTTCACAAGAGTGGCAGTTGGTGGCATTTCCTTCACATGTTCTGCAAGGAGAGCTACAGCGTTCACATGTGCTATCTGCTGCATAGAAGCCCCTGTGGGGAGAAGAGAGAGCAACTGGAGGAGCTTTCCAACCAGGGAAATTATTCCCACCTTGTGGCAAAGAGTTAGGTCTTAAAGCAGAAGGCTTGCTGCCATGTCAACCAAAATGAAGCCATTGGATTTCCTGAGGAAGTATGGTAAGAGAGCAAGTCTGGAAAAATAAAATGAAAAGGATGGGTACCATCCTTATAAATTTGTTTTGTTTTAAAATGACTTTTGTTAATTGGTATGTAGTTTAGTTATCTTCTGATTTCCCCATTTTATCTTCTAATTTTCATTCTTTTTTATTTCATTTTGTTAGAGCCTTACATTAGAGTAGAAAATGCTTTTTACTCAATTTTATTTTTTAAAAAATTTAATAAGTAAAAATATTATTTTCAAAAGGCTCAAAAGGTTTAATGTTCTATAGAATTAGAACCATTTTATATGTACCTAATGCAGGATTGCCACAGTATATAAACCAACTATTAACAGACCTAAAGGGAAAAATTAACAGCTACACAATAATAGCAGGGGAATTTAACACCCCACTTATATCAATGGATAGATCATCCAGACAGAAAGTCAACAAGGAAACAGTGGCCTTAAATGAAACACTAGACCAGATGGACTTAATAAACATATATAGAACACTCTGTCCAAAAAACAGCAGAACACACATTCTTGTCAAGTGCACATGGGACATTCTCAAACATAGATCATATGTTGGGAAACAAAGCAAGCCACAATAAATTTAAGAAGATTGAAATCATATCAAGCATCTTTTCCAACTACAATGTTATGAAACTAGAAAGCAACTACAAGAAAAAAGCTGGAAAAATCACAAATATTTGAAGACTAAACAACATGCTACTGAACAACTACTGGATCAATGGAGAAATAAAAAATACCTGGAGACAAAGGAAAATAAAAACATAACATACCAAAACTTACGGGATGCAGCAAAAGCAGTACTAAGAAAGAAGTTTATAGCAATACAGGCCTACCTCAAGAAACAAGAAAAATCCCAAATAAACAACCTAACACTATACCTCAAAGAACTAGAAAAAGAAAAAAGGCCAAAGTCAGTAGAAGGAAGGAAATAATAAAAATCAGAACAGAAAACAAAATAGAGACTAAAAAAACAATAGAAAGGATCAATGAAACGAAGAGGTGGTTCTTTGAAAAGATCAAAATTGACAAACTGTTAGCCAGACTTGCTAAGAAAAAAAGAGAGAAGACTCAAATAAATAAAATCAGAAATGAAAGAGGAGAGATTACAATGGACACCACAGAAATACTAAGAATTATAAGAGAATACTGTGCAAAGCTATACACCAACAAATTGGACAATCTAGAAGAAATGAATAAATTCTTAGACTACTACAACTTCCCAAAACCAAATAAAAAAGAAATAGAGAATGTGAACAAACCAATCACAAGTAAAAAGATTAAAACAGTAATCAAAAACCTCCCAAAAAACAAGTCCAGGACCAGATGGCTTCTTTAGCGAATTATACCAAACACTCAAAGAAAATTTAATCCCTGTCCTTCTCAAACTCTTCCAAAAAACTGAAGAAGATGGGACGCTTTTGAACTCATTTTATGAGACTAACATTACCTTGATACCAAAACCAGACAAGGACAACACAAAAAAGGAAAATTACAGGCCAATATTGCTGATGAACATAGATGCAAAAATCCTCAACAAAATATTAGCAAATTGAGTACAGCAATACATTAGGGGATCATATACCACTATCAAGTGGGATTCATTCTAGGGATACAGTGATAGTTCAACATCTGCAAATCAATGTGATATACTCCATCAACAACATGAATAAACATCATGTGATCATCTCAAAAGATGCAGAGAAAGCATCTGACAAGAGCCAACATCCGTTTATGATAAAAAATGTCAATAAAATGGGTATAGAAGGAAAGAACCTCAACATAATAAAGGCCATATATGACAAACTCACAGCCAACATCATACTCAATGGTGAAAAACTGAAAGCTATCTCTCTAAGAACAGGAACAAGACAAGGATGTCCAATCTCACCACTCTTATGCAACATGGTACTGGAGGTTTTAGCCAGAGCAATTAGGTAAGAAAAAGAAATAAAAGGTATCAAAATTGGAAAGAAACAAGTAAAACTGTCACTATTTGTGGATAACAGGATTCTATACACAGAAAACTCTAAAGAATACAACAAGAAACTATAAGAAATAATCAACAAATAGAGAAAATTTGCAGGGTACAACATCAAAAGATGAAAATCAGTTGCTTTTTTATACACTAATAATGAACTAGCAGAAAGAGAAATCAAGAATACAATACCATTTTCAATTGCAACAAAAAGAATAAAATACCTAGGAATAAATTTAACCAAGGAGGTAAAAGACCTATACACTGAAAACTATAAGATTTTATTGAAAGAAATCAAAGAAGACATAAAGCAATGGAAAGATATTCCATGCTTATGGATTGGAAGAATAAACATAGTTAAAATGCCCATATTACCTAAAGCAATCTACATATTCAATGGAATCCCAATCAGAATCCCAATGACAGTCTTCATGGAACTAGAACGAAGAATCCTAAAATTTGTATGGAACAACAGAAGACCCCAAATAGCCAAAGCAATCCTGAGAAAAACAAGAACAAAGTTGGAGGTATTACACGCCCTGAATTCAAAATACACTACAAAGCTATAGTAATCAAAACAGCATGGTACTGGCAGAAAAACAGACACATAGATCAATGGAACAGAATTGAGAGACTAGAATTAAAACAGATCTATGGACAGCTAATCTTTGAGAAAGGAGACAAGAACATACAAAGTCTCTTCAATAAAGAGTGTTGGAAAAACTGGACAGCCACATGCAAAAGAATGAAAGTAGACCATTATCTTACACCATACACAAATATTAACTCAAAACGTTTTAAAGATTTGAATGTAAGACCTGAAGCCATAAAACTCTTCAAAGAAAACATAGGTAGTACACTCTTTGATATCAGTCTCAGCAGCATCTTTTTGAATACCATGTCTCACCAGGCAAGGGAAACAAAAGAAAAAATAAATGGCACTACATCAGACTAAAAAGTTTCTGCATGGCAAAGGAAACCATCAACAAAATGAAAAGACAACCCACCAACTGGAAGAATATATTTGTAAATCATATGTCCAAAGGGTTAATTTCCAATATAAAGAACTCATATAACTCAACAACAAAGTGATGAAAACTCAATAAAAAAGTGGACACAGGATATGAACAAACATTTTTTCCAAAGAAGATATACAGATGGCCAACAGGCACATGAAAAGATGTTCAACATCTCTAATTATTAGGGAAATGCAAGTCAAAACTGCAATGAGATGTCACTTACACCTGTCAGAATGACTATAATTAACAAGACAAGAAATAAGAATTGTTGGAGAGGATGTGGAGAAAAGGGAACCCCCATACACTGCTGGTGGGAATGCAAACTGGTGCAGCCACTATGGAAAACAGTATAGAGTTTCCTCAAAAAATCAAAAATAGAAATACCATGTGATCCAGCTTTTCCACTTCTCTGTATTTATCCAAAGAACATGAAATCACTAATTCAAAAAGATTTATGCACCCCTATGTTAATTGTAGCATTATTCACAATAGCCAAGACTTGGAAGCAACCCAAGTGCCCCTCAATGGATGAATGAGCAAAGAAGATGTGGTATATATATATACAATGGAATACTGCTCAGCCATAAAAAAAAAGAAAAAATTGTGCCATTTGCAACAACATGGATGGACTTTGAGGTTGTTATGCTAAGTGAAATAAGTCAGACAGAGAAAGACAAATACTGTATGATTTCACTCATATGTGGAAAGTAAACAAGCAAACAAACACATAGATAAGGAGAACAGATTGGTGCTTACCAGAGGGGCGGGGGAGGGGGTGACAGAATGGCAGAAGGGATAAAGGGGCACATATATATGGTGACGGATAAAAACTACATTATCAGTGGTGAACACGATGCAGTCTATAGAGAAGCTGAAATATAAAAATGTACACCTGAAATTTACACAATGTTATAAGCCAATATGACCTCAAAAAGGTAACTTTTAAAAAATTAGAACCAATTTTGCCTTTGGATGCTTTCAGCCAACCTCTGATGGCGTCTTTCAAACACACACATATAACATTTGCACACAACATTAAACATATTTGGAGTGCCTGTTATTGGAATATGTGTTTGTGTGATTGACTTTCTTCCAGGTGGAAACTCATGACTGTATGTATATTGTAACTCTGAATGATTAAACTATCACATCATAGAAATCACTCACTGGTGTGTGAACACAGTAAATATGAAAAACCCCAACCCTCTCAAATACCTGGAGATGAGGGAAGTGTAGATGATGTTTCCTTGAAGGGAAAAGCTGAAAGGAAGAGCTGGAATTTGCAGAAGCAGGAAAATCATAAACCAGTTTAGAGAAGATAGTCTTCCAATGTCATAGGTACCTATTCCAATTGTTTTCAATAATTATCCTTCTATTAGTCAGCTCTTGCCATAATAGTGCTGTGTAACAAAACACTCCCAAACTCATCATTCCTGTGTCTGGGGGTAGGCAGATCTATGCTGAGCTCGCACTCAAAGAGGCACATGTCATTTTAGAGGAAGAACTCAGGCATGCACTCCAGGGGAAGGAGGCCTGACTCCAAGCTTAACACTGGGTTTGGTTTTCTTCAGGTCCCTATATCCTCCCTGGCACAGGGGCCTACTGGGGCATGTTCTTCTCTTAGCCATGATAGAAGCACAAAAGGGCAAATTCAATCAGGCAAACACATTTTAAGCCTCTGCTTCTCTTCTGCTAACATCCCATTTGTTAAAGCAAATCAAATAACCTAGCCCAAAATCAAGGGTCAGGGAAGTCCATTCTGCCTCTCCTGGGAGTTGCTGCAACGTTACAGGCAGACAGCATGGGTGCAGGGAGGGGTAAAGAATTGCAGCAAATAACTCAATCT